CTTAAACGCTTACTTGATCTGTGTTACCGGCCTGGTTGTTCTTCTTTCTCAACCAACCTAAACATCGTTCTAGTCAATTCCATACCCCGGATTACTCTACCAGCTCTGTCTAGTGGGTGGTGCTGTCGGTTAAACTCTAACTGACAAAAACGAAACAAAAGCCAGCTTTTCCTCACTACTATAGAACATTATACACCGGTGTATTTACATCAAATCCACATGATGATTTGCTCCACAGCTCACTAAACACACACACACAACATCGCGGCACGCTTCTACTAGACATGGTAGCTCACACCAACGTTCAGGCGCCGTTTAGCCATAGTGCACTCGCACTGAGTATCACTTTGCCGTCCCCACTGTCACATTGGCAACTGTCATTTCACTGCCTCCTCCGCGACTTGCCTCTACCAGCGACTGTTTTCCGTCTGCTTGTCCGAATTGACTGAGCTGTTTTTACTGGCCTTGCTTTCCCTCGACCGAAAAAAACTGGTAACTGGAGTAGTCTATTAACGCACAAAACCGCATTCTGACTGCTCGGATGGTTTTCCACCTTTCAGCTCTGGAAGAATGCACGAAGTATGAAAGCCTCGTGTGGCGGATGGGTACGCCCTGCAGAGAGGGTCGCTCTGTTACGTTGAACCATGGTGCATTCGTATGCCCACCACCCCTCCACTAGCACGGGTGCATCGCTCATCGCCGGGGTTCTGAGCCTGGCCTTTAAGTTTAGGATTCTTGCTGCTGGTGTTGGCTTCACCTCGGTTGAGTTGCTTGGCAGTGACATATGCAACAACAACAAAACAAAAACTGGCCTTTCGCTAGTCCAAAAGTATTAAAAAAACAATTTACCTGGGATAGCCGGATGCAATATACCTGGGATAGCCGGAAGAAACTCTGCAATGCCCATGGCCTACGTCGACGTGCGTTGCTGTAGCTACCTTCGTCAATATCGAGGCTACACCGCGCCAAAACCTGCCTCGTCAACCAAACAAAAAGACAAACCAAATTTGCTGCTCCCAGGAGTGGACACATACGACACATAAACATACAGTTAGACTCCCGACTCCCTACCATCAACATCCGAGGATAGCATCGGGAGTTTTCTTCGTCATGCACTACTCACTGATTAAAGCTGATGGTAGTGTTTCGGCGACTGGTGACCTTCTCCCTCGCATTCACCTACCTTCCTAGATCGTTCTAGTATTGTCCCTCTCACTAAAAACCCCCAGGAATTTACACCCCCCTGACGTTACGAGTTTGGTTTACACTCACCACACCTCCTCTTAGCCCACACGCAGTAAACCGTCCTGTCTCAGGTAGTATAGTTATATTGGCAATCTTAGCTTGACTCTGATGACTACACTACTGAGTACAGATTCATCCTTATCCTGTCTTGTTTAATCACCTGATATCCTTCCATAACTGTGGTAGACATCCATTTTTTCCTATTAAAGGACTATATCCTGTCTGACAACCCCCATAACTTTCCATACCTTATCGATCTCATCTCATTTCATCTTCTCCCCAAGCTTGGACCCGTGGTAATGCGCGCTATGGACCATCTGTTTGGCTGTTGTCAACTCCACCCGATTCGTGCATCACGAAGGAAGGGATCCCGACATGAAAATAAAAGGGGAAACAACAACAACAAGACTGCACATCTCAGCCTAACAACCTAATTCACAACGTCCATCACGGGGCTGTCCAGAAACCCAAGTGCTAGTCCCATGACATCAAGTTTGGGGCATGACGCCAGGTAGCATGTGGCTTGCACCGTGGAGTCATTGAAGCTAATGAGGCAGTCCACTTCGCCAGTCAATTTCAGTTTACCACCGGAAGCATTACGGGCCCAGTGTTCAGTCGGCTTCACATGTGGCTTACCTATTCGTTTCCACGTTCGTTCACTGAGCAGCGCGATATCGGAGCCAGTATCAAGTTGCTAACGAACTGGGATGTCATTGATCCGAACCGTCAGGAACTTCCTTCGGCAAGCAAAATCAACTTTGGATGTTGCCGTCACCGAGTTGAACCGCGATTTGTGGGCTGTACGGTGGTGCGCGGGTGGCTGCAGTCTTTGAGGTTGACAGAAATCTTCTTTGGGGCCGCGAAGACTGCACCTGGAACATTTGTGACGCCTGAACCGGCAATATCGAGCAAAATGCACTCACCGCAATGCCAGCAACTTGTGGGAGGCTTACCCTGTCTTCGATCGGGCTTCTTGTCGGATCTCCTGGACACTCGGAAGTTGACTGCTCGTACACAGCTGCTTGCGGTCACAGGTGACTGAGCGATCATAGCCGTGTCGTGCTTCAGGTTTATGAGGCGTTGACATTCAGCGGTGAGGCTATGCAAAGCCATTTCGGGGTCCTGTTCAATTCTGTCAAGCAGCCGGGTTCTGATGTCAGCATCATGGGATGACTAGAGACCGGATACAAAAATGAGGCACTAAAACTGATTCTCCGTCACTGAGCTGGGCTTGAAGTGCTCGCAGTCTCGATTGACAACACCGGCAAACGTGACGAAATCATCATTATCTCTCTTGACCAACTTTAGGCATTGGTAGCGGATATTGAACAATGATGTTTGATTGCCGAATATCTGCGACAGTGTTCTGACGGTTTCATCAAAGCTGAGGTCGCGGGGCAGCTTGGGGAGAATTAAATTTGTGAACCGTTCATGCTCCGGTGTGCCGAGTTTTCGCAGCAATAATCTGACGTTCCATCCAGCATCTAATTTGAAAAAATCAGTCTTTAACATGTCCTCGTACCGCTTGAACCAGGAGTCAAAAGCGTGACCAGAAAGAGGGTCGAATGTGAACTCCGTAATTGCAGCCGCGGCTGCATCAGTTGAGGAAACAGAAGACTCGCCAGTACTGCCTGCTGCTGTCTCAATATGCCGTTTCTGAGGCAGTGATTCAATGAGCTTCAGTTGCGCTTCTTCAAACTGCTTTTGTTGCTGCTGCAGTAGTTCTCGGAGCTGATCAAATCCGATTGACATCGTGCGTTCCCGCTCGCCAATTATAGTGACGGTATTTTCCTCATCTTAGTTCTCGGTCTGAGCCTCCCAAGCTAGCGTTCACATTAAAAACAACCACGGGAGGTGCCCAAGTTCTATCAATGCCCAAAACGAAGTCAGTAACAGTTGCACAGCGCTTCGTATATATAGCGTAAGCGGTTATAAATTTCTGGAATTTCTGTCGCGTTCTGGATTCGCCATTGGCAACCGGCACTTGGCCAATACTGGGTCATGATTGGCCGTTGGGTCCAGATTGATGACCAATCAGAACCCGTCTTAATGCCGGACCGGCAAGCGTCCCGAATTCTGGGCCAACCTCGTGCGGGCCAGGCATATCGGTCGTTGCTGCGCCTAAAGATGCGCGGTATAGCGGGATCCGTGTGGATTCCTGCCTAACAGGAAGTAAGCGAAATCTTGGTCTTCTAGTCACTCTTTCTTCCCCATCTGACGTAAAGGAGATCTTGGAGCGGGCTGGCAGTATTCAAAAGGCCAACCCAATGATCAGGCGCCTATCTGAGGATCGTCCTCTAGGCGCACGTAAGCTTGGTCATAGCAGGTCAGTGGTGAAACACGAAACAGGCTTCCACCGGGCACCAATTCAGCCGACCCCAAACTCATGACCAAGCCGATTGTGGTTACATCCCACTCTGATCCCGAAAGCGGGCCGACGAAACCAGCTGCGTCTCCGGACAGCAGTTCTTTTTCGACCACCTAAGGCCTCTCGCCCACCAAAGGCAGGGACACCATGAAGGAGGCAAACCCCAAATGCAAGCAGCTATCAACGCTTATCTCCGTACCAGAGGACACAGCTGCAGCCGTACACTCCTCAACAAAGTCACAGCCTCTGAACTGGACTCAGTCAGACGTGCGGGGGCAAGAAGCGAAGCCAATCTCCAGCTCCACTCCGTCAAAAGCGGCCTCTCTGCTTGTGGATACAACCGTCGCCCAGGACCCCGACAACCAATGCCATAAACATGACTACAGCCATCCGGAAAATCCCTCGTACATCCAGTTGGTCACGCTGATCGCTGGCGGATCGGGTGTCCACACAAACACGAAAGAAGAGCGACTGCAGCCAAACAAGCCACATAAAACTCGCCAGATTAGAAAACTGCTGGCTGGCTTCAAGGTGCAGTCCCCCGCGAAAACAAGCCTCTTGGGGGCGGCACCAAAATCATTAATTCTTGGTGCCACCACCCAGCGCCCCGGGCCTCACAAAGACACTTTTCCGGTCAAACCGCGCCAAAACACCCAAGGATCCAGAAAGGCGAAAGCTTGCAGCAAACCTTTGATCAACAGCAAATCTGGTAGACGAAAAGGGGATGCTGAAAGAGCCACAAACAACACCGGTCGAAATTTTCGCCCATGGGGAAAAAACTCCGTCCCCCAAAGCCAAAACGCCCGAGCAAACCGAGCTCACACGGAACGAACAAAATCTCGCAGGCGAAAAGCACCCACAGAAACCACAAAGACAAGAAGCAGACAGCATCGTCCCAGGGGACCCTTTGGAGCCTTGGACTCAGACACAAATATTAAGTCTGCTCACCACCCTGGTCACTCAACTTTCGGCTCCATTGTTGAAATGCTTGTCCACAAACTGCCTCAGCCATTTCAACAAACTCAACGATGTTAAACAGTCAGCTTGCCTGGAAAAACAGTCCACAATCGCACTCACAGAGACCTGGCTCACACCAGACGTATGTGACGCGGAGATCTCGATAGAGAGTTGCTCTACTTTTCGAGCTGACTCCAAACGAGGGAGGGCTGGTGGGGTGGCTCTGTACTTACATGCGGTCCTACCAATCCCAATTGTCCTCTCTGACACCAACCCTGCACCCTTTTGCGATGCACTGTGGGTCCAAATCCCGCTGCGCGGGCCCGATTCTCTCCTTCTCGGCGTGGTCTACCGTAACCCCTCGAGTCCCCCTGAAGATGACTAATTCCTCATACAAACCCTTGAGCAACTCTCCTCCAACTACCATTTCACTCATCTCCTGCTAGTAGGTGACTTCAACGTCCCAAAGGCCTCCTGGATTGAGCTCCAGCGCGTCGAATCAGGCGGACCTTTTGCAGTGGCGCTGTTTGAAGTCGTTCAACAGGGCGCTTGGATCCAACATGTCGCTGCACCAACCGGATACCGCGCAGGCCAACTACCATCCCTTCTGGATTTGGTCATCACCAACGAAAGACACTTCGTTGATCAGGTAACAGTTAACGCTCCACTGGGACATAGGGACCACTGTGTGCTGACCTTTGATTTCATGTGCTATTGGGCCAGAAACCCCAAACTTCAAACGTGGTTTCGAGATTTCTGCCGTGCAGACTTCTCAGGAATGCGCATCTTCCTTGAACAAGTCACACCGGGATCAGCTCCGGTGGAAGAACTATATAGGACCATTGGCCAAAAGGCCCACGAGGCTGACGCGACGTTCGTCCCAAGAAAACCGGCACGCACTCGGATGAACCGCAGGCTGCCGAAATGTATTCGGCGACTTCTGGAATAAAGATTCCAAATCTTTTTCAAAAAGTTGACCACAGGGATACAGAAGATGAGCTGACATTTCGTAAAATGCGGAACCGCTGTAAATCGGAAATCCGCCAATGGAACATACGAAAACATGCCACCATTCTGGACCTCGCTCGAAAAAACAAAAACGTACTGTTCAAGTACATGAGACATCGCCGCAGAAACAAGCCATCCGCGTTCTCCTTGAGGGACAGAAACG